TCGAATTTGGGATTTAATAGCGAAGCGCAGTCGTGACGTCATAAAAACGAAGACAAAGGCGAAATTCGGACAAACAAACTTACAAGTAAATTTTCAGCAGATAATTTTCACAGCCGATCGCAGTTGATCTTAGTTTACATGGKTTATTATTGTAACTTTAAGTAAAAATAATAAAATCGGTTCGTATAATCATCGTAGCGGTTAAACAGAATGCAATGTTTGTCCGAATCTTTAAGCTATTTTTGGAATCAGTGCGCTGCGCTATTGTACGGTTCTTGTCCAGTCAGAACCGAGTTATTTTGTTGAGTGCATTATAAGGGGGAAAATGGTCACTCAAAATGCCAAGCAAAGGAGAAAACGAACTACGAGGAAAGAAAGAAAGAAAAAAAGAAAGAAAGAAAGAAAGAAAGAAAGAAAATCAAATGTGCTTGATGTCGTAGAGATTCAGCAAAAACAAAAAAACACAACATCAAATTTCCCAAAAGCAAAAAAGATAAAGAAACAAACAAAAACAAACTGACAAAAGTTTATCTTCCAAAACATTGGAATTATTGTTGAAGATATAAGATCGAAAATCGACAGAAATAATATTTACGAACAAAAAGTGGAATTAAAGAAAAAAGAATGAGAATGAAAGCATACCAACTCTTGCACCAATGAAATTTATTAATCTTGTTAAAGTAAAAAAAAAAAACTTTTTTCTTTAGTACGAGAAGTTTGACAAGTTTTACGCAATACATAATTGATGTGAAATAAAGTGAAAACAAAAGTAAAAACCCACAATTCTGCCATTGGATTTCATCTCGTTAGAATTTATATTATCTTAGTTTTCTTTGTGATCTCATTTTACGAAAACGACATTGCTGCCAAAACTGAAGAACAGGACTTTGATAATTAATTGCCAACCGAAGACCAAGATGTCGTATAACCTTGAAACTCTTCAAGCTAATCATCCTCGTCTAAAGCAATTAAATAATTGGACAGCCAACCTTGAGTTTCAAACTTCCAAATCCTCTAATAATAATTCAGTGACCTTGGATGGTYAGAGCTTCGTAACGACGTTAGGAAAAGTAACAGGAAACAAAGATGGCGCCAGTTTGTCAAGGAGGATCCTTCCGCCAATCTCTCAAAAAAAGTTAACTAAAATACCTGGGAGAGAAGAGGAAMGGATTGAAGCTAATGGAAAAACTACCTCCGGTGTCTTGCCACCCATCGACAAGGTAAGTTGAAAGTGTGGTAATTTTGATATTTTTAGTCATGATGAGAGTAGCTTTAGAGCTCGTATTTCTAGTTGACTATCCGGTTTGTTATTATGGAAGTGGTAACCATTTTATTTTATTCCGGCTTGTCTCTAAAGTTGTTTTTTTTYTCTATTTTTATCTTACAGCGGATGAAGAATTACGAGAATTTAGAATGTGATTTTTAAATATTTTTCTCGTATCAAAGCAAGAAGTACGAATTTAAAAAATAGTTATTGAATCAGATTTAATCAAAGGACAACCACTTCATCTAACCTCCAAGTAAAAGAGAGAAAATTAGGCTTGAATTAAGTCTAAACTGCTCGCASCTTGCGAAATGAAAATGAATTGCTATCCTTCCTCCATCATGCAAGTAGCAGTCGTGTTGGCAAACTATGAAAMTTTTCTTCCCTATATACATTAGTTTATACAGTAGAACCTTTATTGGGACACCAACCTCACTTTATGGAACAGAAATACTAGAAATTTTGATAATGTGTTTACGAACAATCTTTAAAGCACCTCCAAGGTGGCCGCTTAATAGGTTGTGCATGGTCGCTTAATGGAAGTTCTAATATTTTTGGATGATGAATTTTAGGGAAAAGAATGTGTTTACGAGCAAGCAAAAAAACATCTCGAAGAACACCACCACGATGTTCAGCGCGTCGATCAACATCTTGAAAGTACAAAACAAAAACAGATGGTATCGCTGCAGGAGAAAAGAAAACAACGGCAGAAGTTGAAAAAAGCCGAAATAGAGGAAGAAAAACAAAAAGACGATCTTGAAAATGGAAATAACTTCCGCAAAGATGAAAAAACAGAAAGCGAGAAAAATACGTCACTATGTGTAAGCAGCCAAGAGGTTAGAAACATCGTTAATCATATGCATTTTCCTTTGATAATGAATCGTTCCTTGATAAGGATTCATTATTCATCATCCTCGATAATGATTCATTATTCATCATCGTCCCTTGATAATGATCCATTAAGACCAATGAATCACTAAGTGTGAGAACCCCAAATGTTAGAAGCTTAATCATATGCATTTTCCTTCATAATGATTGGCGAAGAGTAGTTTCGTATCCAGGCCAATCTCGGCCATATCTTTCGGAGGTGGTCTGAAGGAATTGCGAAATAGTAATACATCCCAAGTACTAACAATACATGTACATGCGAGTATGCCTATTTAGATATGGGATGTGTGAAAAATGGAGAGCTGTACACAGGAGTAGACTGCCGTATACTGGCACGAAAACAGTTCCGCATCGCGTCATGCGGGTGGATGGGTGGGAAGTCGAACTATCTCAAAGGCGTCGTAGATGAGTGACACAAAAGGGATTGTTCACGGTAATATATACAGAGCAAGGCATGATGGGATATCCATTGTTATGTAAATACTCGCTATTATTTCAAGTACTTAGAATAGTTAAGAATGGAAATCAGCGGTAGCTCGTGTAAGCATCGTTATACCTATGCGTTTCCTTGGTAATGATTGGCCAAGAGTAGATTGTATCCAAACCAATCTCGGCCATGTCTTTCGATTTTTATGAGGCGGTCTGGGAAAATAACAAATCACGAAAAAGTGAAAAATGTCGCCTACCGTGACCAAAAGATGAATGATTTGACAACGACCAATCAGCGGAAGCTCTAGTCAAAAATCTTAATTTTTACTCATGTCATTATGTTCGCAGACAGGGGTCGTTGCTAAGCAACAGGTACGGGAATTCCCGCCATTTCCAGAGGAAACAAGTCCGTCAGTACGAAGAAACGACAGCATCACGCTTGTCAAAATTGAAGGGAAGAGAAAGAAGACGCTGATTAAATTAATGAAGTTCTCTTGTGTCGTCTTGGTGCTGACGGTGTTTGGGGTGACATTGAACCTCCTTAAACAAAAAGATGTTACTGGTACGTTGTCAAAACAACTACAATTCGTCAGAAGGAGTAATGACCAAATCTCAGATGATACAATTTTCACTGTTACAGACCTCTTGATCTTGGGCGTAATGTTTTCCCATTTCAGATCACGTCTTTCCCTTGAGTATCATTTCTTTGTTTAACGGCTGCCCATGAGAAGACACATGAATATGGATACAACTAAAACAAAGAATCTTATTCTGGAGAGAATGGCACGTGGTCTGAAATGAGAAATGATTGTCTCAGCCTGATTTCGTACCGTGCCGTTATTATTATTATTATTTTTTTTTTGTAAAATTTTACTTTATTTAATTTTAAAAAAAATTCTTTTGTAGATGAAGTAGGAAGATCGAGTAACGAATCAGCTCTGGGTGACTTTGGAAAGCAAATGTTCAAGAAACCTGAAGAGGTTACAAACGAAGAAAGGCATGCTACAATTAAACGCTCAACTTTGAATGGACATGATGCATCATCATCATCAACATCATCATTATCAGCAACATCATCATCACCACCACCACCCGCATCATTACCACCACCACCATCATTACCACCACCACCACCACTACCATCATCATCACCACCATCATTACCAACATCATCACTACCATCATCATCATCATCACCACCATCATTACCAACACCACCAATACCATCATCATTATCACCATCATCACCATCATCACCACAACCACTACCACCACCATCAGCAGCAGCAGCAACATCAGTCAACACCTACAATATTAATTCCAGTATCACCTTCAGTAGTTTTTTGCCAACTAAGGCAACGCTCAACTATGTAGCATCAACATACACCAACCAGAACCGACCTTCACTACCAGTTCTAGCTTCAATCATTAACACGATGACACGAGCGTCTTCCTCGTCTTCCTCTTGTTATCTAAGAGCAACTTCCATAGTTCTCTCGACTGTCATTTCTAAGAATTCTGTTTCTCAGCCATCAAGAATGCCAGAATGGTCACCCACAATGAGCTCTGCGTTACTTATTCCTTCAACAAGCAGTACGAACGACAACCTCGATGACGCAGCGGACGAAGCTGAGGACATCTGCTTGTCGAGTTCAACTACAAATGACCCATYTCAGCTTCACCGAAGAATCCAGAAAATGGTCCAAAGATTAAACAGATTGTTAGCGCGAAGATATTTACTTGTTATTACGCCAAGGGATGTGGAAAGAGGACAAAATGCGATAAGAAAAGTTTGTGGCTTGGTTCAGAATCCTCAAGGAAATGCCGGGATGGTGGTCGTTGATCTGCAGACGATGATGTATCTTTTGATGGACTTGCTTGATATACCCAACGATAGCTGCCAAGTCTAGTTATGTACTGGCAACCGTCAGAAGCGTTAACTTTTCTGATTCGTATGGCGATTGTAATTTTTGTCCCGTTGTCAGATTTTTGTGGCGTTTTCAAATTTGTATGAAGCTTTCAGATTTCACGCAAAGAAACGTTTACCTTTTCTGTATAATAGGAGTGTAAATAGATGATTGATAATGGAGGGCAGTGTTTGCTATTCAATTAATGCTAGTAATAGGTTTCATGGAATTTATTCAGCTGGTTGATACCAAGCAATAGAATACTCTCTGGATGATAGCACATGACGGGCAGTGTTTGTCTGTCATTGAAGGCTGGTAATGAGATTCATTCAGCTTGATAGCACATGACGGGCAATGTTTGACTGTCATTGAAAGTTATAAATGAGATTCATTCAGCTGGTTGATAGCAAGCAATAGAACACTCTCTGGTTGATAGCATATGACGGGCAGTGTTTGTGCCATACTTCAAACTAAATCAGTCATGTGTGAAATTTATACTCTATTAAAACGTGTTTTCGTCTAAATTTTTTAATACATTTCAAGCATCAAAAATGCYCTAGTTTCACGTTATATCTATAGGTGTCTACGTGTAACTCACTACCTTCCAATAAAACTACAGTACAGGACATTAAAATTTCAAACTTCAAACGACACATTTATTCCAACGTCTCCCAACGTTGTTTCAGTAGTTTTTCTGACCACACTTCTGATTTGAAGTCGGCAAATAATCAGCCGTTTCCTTGCAAGATTGATTAGATTTTAATACTAGATGTTGGCCAATGAAAGGTTGCAACGATGTGAGGTTTAGACAAAACACCGTTACCATAGTAACGACAAACAAATAGTCTCAAAATCGGATTTTCTAAAATACATTGATTCTGTGAGTACCCGAGACAGGCGAGCACAATGCCATATGAATTACATGAGGTCAATGTTGATTTTTACATCAATTTTTGGGGTGAATATGTGACCGCTAGTTTTTCAAAACGGGTCCCACATGGAAGGTAGAGACTGTGAGTTCTTAGCCATTCAGGAGACGGACTACAAATTGGGTCTGCTGGTCATAGCAAGGGGTTAATCATCTACGGCCTAGGGGCCGACTAACCTCTCCCTTAGGCTTCGGCCGAGCTTCCTGATCAGTCTGTAAATCCAGGGATAGCGGTTTCGGGGCCGAAATCTCCGGCATAGCCGTAAATGCTTCGCGCTGCCATACTGCGCTTCAGCACTAGGTCTGGAGGGATGGTCCTAATGTCATAATCAATCAATAAAATAATCTTTAAAACCAGCCTTATTTTTAAATAAAGGATTTTCTTCGTTGAACTTTTAAATCAATTAATTTCAGAAATTTCTAAGTGCGCATGCGTGTTCAAGTTTGTTCCATGTCAATGAGGAACTGACCGAGAGAAAAGCAGGGTCTGGGGACGATATTGGTCTCTATTAAGAAGCTAACTTCGAATGCAAATCTGATGGATCCAGCTGGAGTAAGATTAGCTGCTTGCCGACTTAAAATCAGAAGTGTTGGACAAAGTGTTGGCAAAGTCAAAAATACCTGTCGGGTTGTGGGGTGGGGTTCGGACTTAAACATAACCACTTTTTTTCCATTGTAAATCTAATGCAGATGCCCCATTATTCTTGTCCTGTATTGTTTGTTAACTCAGGCTACACATGTTTAGATTATATAAAGTACTAAAATGCTTATTAGCAAGCAAAGCAACATTTTCCTCGTCGTCTTCAAGTCATAAGTCCTTATCAGTTGATTGCATCCAAGACAATTGGTACTATCTGTAACAATTCTTTTCCATCTTAATAAAAGCAAATCCGGACACGTCGGTTCGCTTCAACGAATAAGGAACACAAACACGAAGATTTCAGGAGCATTTTTTAGTTTTTCATTTTTTCCATCTCTACTGGTATTCACTAAAATGTCATTCCATATGTTTAAAGAGTAATTCCATAGAACAGAATGAATATTACTTAGCTTTTCTTCGCGATTTCCATACTCTTAGTGTTTGATCATCACTTGCACTGATCAGCATCTCTGGATTTTGAGGATTAAAAGCCACACAGTTCACTACATCTGAGTGTCCTTCGAGGGTCGCTAACTTGAAGCCATAATGGCGGTCCCAAACATGTGCACAGCAATCCTCCGCACCGCTATAAGGAAAAGAACATAAGGCAATGAAATTGAAATAATTGGCCGTTTCCCAACATATTTATATAAACGCCGGCCGCAGGGCCGAAAGAATTAAAAGGCGTACACGTCGTTTTAGTTAACGAGGAAAAACATACCGCGACCAGAAGCTTTGAATTTTGCTTTGAATTTCACGGTTAGAATTTTGTTTTGGTGATATAGTGACGTAGCGGTAAAACGTTCAGTTTTCGCTGCTTTGTTTTTTTGACCTGATGTTTTTATTGTGCCAAAATAAAGTTAATCTATCTATCTATCTATCTATCGGCATTTAACCGTGATACAAAATTTAGGCCAGTGGCGTAGTGAGAGTTCCAGAGTCGGAGGGGCGAGCGCACGAGTTTTGGCGGGAAAATTCCTGCCACCAAAACCACAGGTAGCTCAACAAAATATAAAAAGGGGGGTTGTCGGAGGGTCCCCCTCGGTACGCCCCTGATTTAAGCTGACAGACAAACGATCTACCACCAAAGTATCATGTAGCATGTCCGCGTGTCCACTAGTCCGCGTATTGACCATAAATGTCTCGTGCTTTCAATAGGTGACAAGCGAGTAATGATTCCAAGGTTAAGGTCAAACGTCGAACTTTTCCTGAACCGTACGCATTGAAAACAATGGATTCTTATATGTCGGCTAAAGAGAATTTGCAACGTTTGACCTTAGTCAAAGAAACCCCTACCTACCTTGCCACAAGTTTGTCTGCGACGTCAAGAAAGATAAAAAAACATTTGTCGTTTGGAGTGAACGCTCTGTGTCCAACATGTTCTTTTAAAAGTTCTAAGCTCGACAAACTGTACACTCTTGTATGAATATCACTTGAAATTTCAAATTCCTCGTGAATACCCCATTGGGCAGCACGTTGCTGGACTGCCTTCCTCTCACCAATCCAGGGTCGACAATTCACATACAGCATGTCCTGGTCAGGGGCTAATCCTACTCCTATGATATGAGCATTCGTCTCTATCAGATGGTCGGGTTCTGTGAATCTTACATCTTCGGCATCATCGTCGGAATCGGAATCTGGATCGATACTTAGTCGGAATTTCTCGGAAACACGATTTTTGTTACCGATATTACTCTGTGGTAGTATTCGGAACGTATCATTGTCTTTTTCGGTTGTTATTTTATTAATGACGATTTGATGAGGAATATACGTGACCACACCGTGTGTGAAGATTAATAGCAGCTCGTTTTCCTTTAAAAATGCGGGTTTTGCTACAAGGACGTTACGAACAGAGCTTCCATTTTCGTTCAACACACGACAGAGTCGCACAGGGTTACGACCATGTATTGAGTTGGCCCATAATTCCGAGACAGACGAGTCATAGAAGGGGACTCGGAATTCAAAGGATCCCGAGATGAAGTGAGTTTCTGAAAGCCATGCTCCAAAGACGTCGTAGGGCTCGCTTATGACGTTATGTAGGATGGTCTGATCGTCTTTGCCGTCGATGGAACAGATTGTGATCTCACCTGAAGGAAGGAAGGAGAAAAGAAGGTAGGTGGGAAGAAAGGAAGAATGGAAGGCAGAAGGAAAGAAGGAAAGAAGAAAAGGAGGAAAGAAGGAAAGAAG